TTGGACTTTGTCGGATTTTAAAGGGAGATGGGGGGTGAGGGGGTGGGGGGGTGGCATTTAGGGTCTTGTCCTGGACGTGTTTTTAATCGTTTTTAGAAATAACCGGAGGGCTGATAGAGAGCTACTGCCACGCGTGGTAACATCCTAGATCTCAGAAGCAAAACAAGGAACAAAGACAGTAAATCCTTCCAATTTCCTTTATTCAGATTATATTATCCTGGTGGTTTGGGATTGAAACATGACACAACACAGTGCGTTACCGGAGCAGTACAACAGACACAGAGATGCGACGTTTCCGTTTACTCCCCAACAGATAACACCGGGGATCCGAAATCGGAAACCAACGAAAAGTCTCAGGACATGTGGGCACACACCGAAATGTCCCTGCATCTGCTGTTGGGGTAGGTATTTTTTTGCTTCATTTTTTTGCAGAGCCTTACAGCATGGCACACACAGAGGTTCAGCTCGAGTTTGGGGGGGAAAGAAACCCAAGGAAACGTGCAGATCAGCCCCCAGCAGAGGTGTTGCGGACGGAGCAGCTCGCTTCGGTCTTCCCGGGTACTTGGGCTCTCTCCCTCCAGTCCGCGGGGCAGCGGGTGCAACCAGGTCTGGAGGGAGGGAGTGAGGACATCGGGCACAGGGGGAGTGGTAGCTACAGCAAGAGCCGGGTTGAATGCCGGCCCTGCCCTGCCCTCGGGGCAGCCTAGCTGTACTCGTAGTCCGAGGAGTCGTCCTCGGACGCGGCTGGCAGGCCCCGGTGGCAGGAGTCCGCGCCGCTGCCCTTGCCTCCGCGCTGCTCCATTTTGATGGTGTCGTAGAGTCCCTTGGGCTCCTCGTCCAGCAGCACGTCCCTCTCGGAGCGGGACGGCTTCATCTGGCACACGTTGCGGAGCAGCAGCAGCACGGGTGCGTACAGCACGTTGGCCAGCCCCATGCCCAGGTTGAGCTGCACGAAGCCCAGCGAGTGCACGATCTGGCTGGCCACGATGGGCCCCAGCGCGTAGGCCACGGAGTAGGAGATGTCCGCGATGGCGTAGACGCTGCCGTAGACCGAGGTGTGGCGCACGTCCACCAGGAAGGCCAGCGTGGGCAGCAGCGCCGTGTCCACCAGCGCGATGCCGAAGCAGATGCCGCAGAGCGGCACGACTAGCTGCCAGAAGGTGCGGCAGGCCGGCAGCGTGCAGGAGCTGGCGCCGATGATGGCCAGGCCCAGCGCGCCGTAGAACCACTGGAGGTGCGGGTACCGCGCCGCCAGCCGCACCGTCACGTACACGCCCAGCACGTGCGGGAAGAAGGCGGGCAGCCACGTGAGGCCCATCTGCCACTCCGTCGCGTGCATGCTCCTCTTCATCCACGTGGCGATGGTGGGCTCCAGGAAGGCGAGCGGGATGTTGCAGGTGGTGAGCGCGCCGGCCACCACGGCGATGTAGGGGTCGGCCATGAGGCGGTGGATGGGCGTGCCCACGAGCATGTTGTCCCGGGTGCGGTCGCCCAGGGGCCGCAGGGCGGCGAGCAGCAGCAGCCCGTCCAGCAGCGACACGCCGGCCAGCACCAGGAAGGGCACGCTCTGGCCCGCGAACTGGTAGAGGATGCCGCCGAAGGGTGGCGCCACCAGGCTGCCGAAGGAGATGAAGGCCAGGGCGACACCCAGCGCGCGGCTGCGCTCCGGCTCCTCCGTGTACTTGTCGGCGATCATGGCGATGCCCGACGTGTCTGCGAAGGCCGAGCCCAGGCCCTGCAGGCTGCGCGCCACGAAGAGCGTGGCGTAGTTCTCCGCGAAGGCGAAGATGACGGTGGAGAGGAACATGACAGTGAGGCCGATAAGCAGCGGCAGGTCGTAGCCCACGCGGTCGATGAAGGTGCCGCTGAGCGGGTTGACCAGCAGCTGCAGGATGGCCTTGGAGGCGAAGAGCACGCCCACCTTGATGTCCTCGTTCTCGGTCGGGTAGCTGAGCCACAGCGCCTGCCGGCTGGCGTTGCCTCCGCCGCTGTCGGACTCGTTGGGCGGGGCGGCGGTTTGGCGCCAGCGTTTCATGTATTCGGGGACGATGGGCACGATCACCATGTAAAGCATGTTGTCCAGGAACAGCGCCACGCACACGATCACCAGCAACAGCCGCCGCTGCCGCCGCGCGTCCTGCATGGCCGCGCCCAGCTGCTTGGTCTTCTCGCCCACGGCGTCCGACAGCTTCTCCGCGGCAGTCCTGGCCAGCCCCGCGCTGCCGTCGCTCGCCATCCCGCCGGCCCGGCCGCGGCTTCACTCCCTGCGCATGGGGCTGGCGGCGAGCGGGGGCTCCCCGCCAACTCTGCCCGTCCCGTCCCGTCCCGTCCTGTCCCCTGCGGGATGCGCCACCGCCGCCGCTGCCTCGGGTCCCGCCTGGCTGCTGCTCGTTCGGCTCCCGTTCCTCACATCCCCGGCGGCTTCGGACGGGGCGGGCGACGGCTGCACGGACGTGCTCGGGCTCAGTCCCCGCCTGCAGCGCGCATCTCTGGCGCGGGGGGAGCCGGCCCCTCCGCTCCGCTCCGCGTCGCTCAGCGGGGCCGGGACCGCGGGCGGCC